TAATACAGACAATATGTTCATTAAAAAACTGTCATAAATTAAATTGTCTACTAAGAATTTCATAAATCGTCTGTGTAATCTTTTTCTTAAAACTGCTTCCCACTTTATGTAAAGTTTCCGTCTCGCGAAATCCGTCGTCGAACCGCAGTTCGCTTCAAACGAAGCCATTTAACCAGGATGAACGAGGCCGCCACGCTGTTCGAATGAATCATTTTCAATTTAATAGGTATTCCTTTGAGATACGCGCATTTCGTCGCCGATGCGGACCGACTTAAATTAATACGCATATAAATCATTCGGTGTGTATAAAGCAGGAAGCGAGATTCCTTCTTTTTCCTTTCCTCCTTTTCTCTCTGGGTTCACGTGTCACGATAGTTACGAGCATTTAGATGGCATAGCGCGCGCGAATTTACGACAAGCAACACTGGCGACAGACTCGTCTGTTCTTTTCCCCGCGGCTGACACGCGCGTTTCAGACTCATTTCTTCGACCCCTGCTTCACGAGGCTGCGTCGCACGTGGAATGCGTATGCATCAACTTCGGTAATGTTTTCTCGGTGGACCGTCCGCTCGTCGTTTCGAGCGCTCGTAATTTTGAGACCAATTTCAATTTAAACGCTATGAGAATTTTTTCTAGGAAGATCATCTTGGTATTTTGTGAAATGTAATTGAGAAATTGAAACGTTAGATAAATGATGTAAATGATGACACATAAAGATATGATTTTTTTAGTGGAAAAAATGTTATTAGGTTCTGCAATAATTTACCTTAATTTATGTAAGATAGAGCTCGCAAGTTTATAGCAATTAAACAATTAATGATATGATCGATATATAAATGATGTAGATTAAGCGGGAAAATTAAATAATAAAGATTGATTCCTTTGATGAAGCTTCTTATTGGAAGTCTGAAATTTCAACTTCGCAATTATTGGAAACAGTGAAAGAGAAAAACGAAAATTGAATGGATCAAAACTTTTATAAGAAAGGAAATAAATAGATTTTCCATTTTTTGCTTCTTTTGTAATAATTGTAGTTGTAATTTTTCTTTTCTCTTTTTAAACTCAATGTGGATGAAACGGTGATTTATGGAAAGAAGGAAAAGTAAAAGGTATAGCCTGTGGTATTATATTATAGAATGTTACAGGAAGCACACTGATCTACGACCTCAGAAGGTTACAATGCAAGTTTTATTACACATAATTACATTTTAACGGGTTTAAAGAGAATATAGGACATGTTGGAATATGAAATACGTGCTCCGTTAAAGAAAAAAACGTGTTAAAGCAGAACGAGTCACGCAATTTATTAAACTACCGTACTTAATCACTATCTCTTGCATTAAATAGGAATAGTATTATATGTTATAATCATCTAGGTACTTTTACATTACTGCTCTGAAATATTATTTCCTACTTTGTTATTTTGTTTCTCACCAAGCCATGTCACCACGGTCTTTAAAATTTGAACATAAAGCAAATCAAATAAGCAAATAAAATATCTTCCATCGAAAGAAATGCAATATCCTAGAACTGATAATTTATACAAATCAGAGATAACGACTCTATTTGATCGTTGGGAAAATACCTTGAATTACATGAAGATTACTTTAATTAATCATATGACGTTACGAAGGAATTACAAGCGATTAAAATTTTATTTGACGAAACGACATTTCATATGCAGGAACCTAATAGCTTCCTCTCGGATCGTTAAGAATTCCAGTTATGAACCCGACTCGACGAGGTCGTAGAATTCGTACCATCCGTGAACGGGCGTCTCATCAGAATCGAGAAGCGCATCAAACACAAATAATTGACAAACTTTACAGCCGATTTCTTCAGCGATAACATCATCGCGACCAATCTTCTCTCAAGCGACTGCATTTTTATGACTTTTCTTCCCTTCCCCAAAAAATCCACGTCGCTTGATGTCGAGGACGAGCCGTGTATCTTTTCGACACCTTCACCCTTTTTCGCCTCATTTACCAACGAATGCTCTTCCCCCATCCGTAACTTATTGTCCTCGCCTCGTGCCCTGTCGCTCTCTCGATATGGCGTGCGCTGAACAAGGCGCTCGAACAAGCCACGCGTCCTCGCGGTAGGTCAGTACATTGGAACTGCTCGCGCAAACTTCCATCGATCGTTTATCTTTGCCACGAATTGATTTCCGGCGATTTACCGTTCGGTTTCGACCCTCTTTGCTCTCTTTCCGCTTGATCGATGCTCGTTGTGCCCGTCTAGTTTTGGTTTTCAGTCGATTCATTCGAAGATGTATAGTCGGAGACAAAAATAAGTGGACAGGTAATGGAAATAAATATCGATGAAGTTTTGTTAAATACGGCTTGCTTAGACATAAATGTAAATATTAAGTTATATGTATTTAAATGTTAATTATTATGTATATATATGTATATAGTATTATATTATATTATATTAGTAGTATATATACTACTATGTGTATGTATATGTATCTATCGTCTATATTCTCTATATATATTACTATATACTATACACATAATAGTATAGTATATATGACATTATATCACTATTATGATATAATATTGTATCTACTATACTACTATACATAGATAGATAGATAGTAGATATCAATTACTTTATATATATATATATATATATA